AAAAAAAAAAAAAAAAAAAAAAAAAAAAAAAAAAAAACTAGTCAAAAGACAAAAAGATACGAGCGCAAATATATTCGATTACGTCGCAGAAAAATAAATGCGTAGAAAAGAATGCTTACAAAAGCACGTTACGAGAAGAAAGAAATATTACCCTCATAAAGTCAAAAGATTTGGCTCACCCGTTGTTGCCTGTTGCTGACAATAATTAAACTCCGCGCACGAGGCCGACGATCGGCTACGTTGCTCCGTTTCGTTCGGGATTTCGTCGTCGTTCGACGACGAACACACGTCCTTGTAACCTTCCGGCGGACTTAGCGTTTCTTGTTGTTGCGGTTGTTGCTGCTGATCTTGTTGCTGTTGCTGTTGCTGTTGCTGATCATGTTGTGACGACGGCGGAACGACCGCGGTTCCGTTTTCTTTCTGAAAATCCGAGGTCTCTTTAGGCCGTCGTCCTTTAGTAGCCGCGTCTTCCGCCGCGTCCACGTTTCTTCGCTCGACGACGTCTTTTCTTTCAATCGGCGTTGCCGCGGCTACAGCCGCCACCACTCTCTCAACCTTGCTCTCAACGTTCTCCTCCTCATCATCATCCTCGTCCATCTGTTCGTTCTCCTCCTCGTCCTCTTCTTCCTCGCCAACGTCCGCTTCCTCCTCATCCTCTTCCTCGTCCTCTTGCGAGCTTCGCAACTGACTCTTCTCGCCCCGAAATTCGTCGCGATTATTACGCGTTACGTTATCGCGCAACGCCTGTTCCGTTTCTTTCGCCATTTCGCCGCCGCCGCCGTATCTGCCGCCGCCGGCGTCGTTCCCGATTCCCAAGTGCAAATTCAATTCCGCCCGGCATTCCTGACAGTTGCCTAACCGCATCAACTCGTGTTCCTGATAACAGCAATCACAATCCTCCTCGTAATCGGCGCAACATTCCTCATTGATCAATATTATATAGTCAGCCGCAAAAAATTCGTTTAGCTTCTCGTTTATCACCACCCGGTGCTTCTGCGACTTCGTTTTCGTTTGACCTGGTTTTTTCAGCAACGATTTAAGCGTTTTCGTCGCCGGTTCGGCCGGATGCTTGTTTCCTCCGTGTTCTTTCATAATTGAAGAATTTTTTATATTCCGCTCTTTTCTTCTCTCCGATTTTTTTCCCTTCTTTCCGTGTTTCCCTGTTTTTTTTTTTTTTTTTTTCACACACATACGCCGCTTACACACGCGCGCGCGCGCGCGCACACACGCACACTCACCCTCTTTCTTTCTCCTTTCATTAAACCAACATGACGTTCCACCATGAGTTCCCGAAGAGACAAGGGTTCACCCCACGACGACGACTATATAGCAAACGCTATATTCTTCTCTTCTTCTGTTTGTCTCTCTCTCTCTCTCTCTCTCTCTCTCTTTCTCTATTTTCTTTCAAGAGACGTATTCCTTCTCTCTCCTCTCGATGTCCGTCCTTGCCACCGGCCACCTGTGCTGTACGGCTTCTCTCCTACCTGTCCCTCTCTCGCTCAACGTTTTCCCACGGCGCGGTGGCGCTCATACAACTACTTTCTCGCGGCGATACCCCAAGCGATATTCGCACCTGTCCAACGATATACACGCGCTAACGTTATCGTTCATTGTTCCGACAACAATCCGTTCGTCGTCGCGCGCGTAGCAGCTCGTAGTAGTAGCCATTGAGACATTTATATGCATCCGCGCAAATAGCCCACATTTGCGTAATTGTCGTAGTTATAATTCTCCCACGTAACGAACACGCGACGAAATCAGCCGCCATTTAAGTAGTAATCCTCCAACGCTGTTCAACAGCTGCAACATCCCTCTCTCGGGCGAACGGATCGATGAACTTTTTTTTTTTATCGCCAAAGTATCACATGCTTTGTTGCATCTTCTCTTCCGTCCGATTATTATTTGGCATCGATTTGCCTACGTTTTGTCGTCGACGTCAACGTCGTCGTCGTCGGTGCACGTGCTTCTCTTGCTGGCGCGCGCTGGTCCGCTTGTTACAAGCAGCGTTTTGGATGCGCGAGGAAGTCAGTCCGGCGAAGGCCGCGCGCGTATTGATCGCGAGGGTACGCGAGGCTCGGAGGTTTTCTTCATTTCGTGGATAATTGATTTCGCGTCACCCGACATCGGAGACGACCGGAGATTTTTATATCCAACAAATTTTCGCGCGAAGCAATACGCTTTTAAAGATAAAGACAAAGTCGCTCGCAAAGATTTATTATCTCGGCGCACGAAGAAGACGCGCTTTGCGATACATCGCGGAGAGATACACGCGAGATGTGTGACAACGCGACTTCAAATGTAACCAAATTATAATATACGCGCGCTTAAGATAAATTCACGTTAAATTACGCGTTAATTTACGCAAAAACTACATATTTCGATTCGCAATTGGCGACCCAATCGCCTTTACGTAGCCTTCGCAAGTTTAAAAACGTCGTCGCGCTTCTTCAATTCTCTCATCATCGAGTTAAATTCGTGAAAAAAACAAAAAAATTGCGCGCACAATTCGCACACGATTAATACTCTCCCGTCAGTTTTTTTTATTATTATTATTATTTATTTTTCTCTCGTTTCTCTTCTATTTTTTTTTTTTTTCATTTCACGCACTTTTCGCACTTCTCCATCCAACGACGAATAATAATAATAAAATGAACGTCAGTACGAGTGTCAAGCATAAACGTGTGTGAGCGGCGCGTATAAACACTTGTTTCTCTCTTCGGCGACGTCCCCGTTTATCGATTTCGGATTCGCGACGAATGCCGAGAGACCGCCAACAACGCGACTCTGTAATCGGTCTCTCTCTCTCTCTTTCTGTCTCTCTGTCTCTCTCTCTCTCTCTCTCTTTCGCTGCTCGTAATTACGATGTATACTGTGTGTCGTCCGAAAATTCGAAACACTCCGATTCTGTTTTTTTTTTTTTTGTTTTTCCGTCGCAAAAGGAAACTACTTTTTTTTTTTTGAAGTAACGCAAGTTTATCGGCGACACCTCCGTTTTTTTTTTCCTGTTATTATTATTATTATTATTATTCAGCTTGTTTTAAATCGTCCTTGTCGTCTGATTTAAACCTTCTTTAAAAGTCACTGACGCACTGTGTCGCGAGCGACAGAGCAAAGGTGGTCTCGTCTCGCTCACGGAGCCGGAGAATCAATGAAACGGAACAGCCTTGTCCGCTTCGGTCGCACAACTAAACACTCCTGCGAGCAACGTCGTCCATTATACCGAACGTATCGTCCATGACGCGCCGCCGACCGAGACTGCTGGTGCTGCTGCTGCTGCCGCCGTCGCCGCTGTGCATGTTCTCCCACTGACTGTACGTGCACATCGCATACCGGCAATAGCAACTATCCATTACAACGATGGCGGTCGGTTATTGTTGTTGTTGTTGTCGTCGTCTCGTCCCCAGAACACAGAGAGAAGACCGCATCGCACTCTCGAACGCATTCTGTAATATAGATGAAAAATTAAATATCGGAAGAGAAAAAAGAGAAAGAGTTTCTCTTTAAACGCGCGATGAATCTCTCGCGGAAATTAGAGAAAGCAGCCAACGACTCTCGTCCACAGGATTTAAACACATCCGCGCAATTTTCACCCGGATCTGGATCGCGCGACGAACCTTCTTTCGCATCTCGACTTTGGATTTTACATCTCGCGCAATTCTCGCGCCTCTGAACGCGTCCTCCGAAGTTTTCAAAAGCAACCGCTTTGTCCTCCTCATCTTTTTTTTTTTTTTTTTGCTCTCTCGCGCATATATATATATATAGATTTATATCTTGTATTTGTTTGTTCACGCTTCAAACTCGTTCTTTTTTGTGAAACGTAAACAAATTTATTATTCCAGTCGACGGACGCTGATGAATCGCGTCCGTGGGTTCGCGGCGGAAGTAACGTGTTGCATAACTTCACGTGGCCGTGCTTCGCGCGCGCTCCTCTACTGCCGCTTTCACGTATGCGTATCTTCTCTTATGCGTATGACGCGGAGCGTTTGTGCGTATCTCTGATAGAAGACGATAGTTGTCTGTTCGTTTTCGTCAGGTGGGATTTATTCGCGGCGAACGTTTATTTGTGGAAACTTTATATATTCTCTGCGAGAATTGTGTCAAGTTAAATTAATCCGCTTCGGTCTTTAATAGTCGCCGCGCGTAAATGGGTAAAAAAAAAAAAAAAAACAGTACACTCGTCAATCAACTTGTTCGTGTGCTCGCACAGAAAATATATAAAAATCCACAGAAAAACCTCATTAAACAATCATTAGATATCGCATGGAATCGTCTAATGAGGTTCTTCCTCTACGCGTGGATAATATGTGCAATATAAATGAACAATATTAATTATCGCTAACCGTCATCAATTCGGGAATGTGTGTGCTGTTACTTACAACGCATTCTTCAAATTCTTCATTTAGGCGATAAGTGTGGTCAAAAAGCGTAGATAAGATACATATTTTAGAAAAAAAAAAACGCACCTTTGTGAAACATATATCTCAATAAATTACGTGGTCCAAGTTAATTACGAGTCGTTCAAAAATGTGCAATGTGTACGCGCGATGTACACTTTCATGTGTTGTACATGCAAATATAAAAAAAAAAAACAGTTACTAAAAAAAATGAATTTTATGGGAGAGAGAGAGAGAAAGAAAAAAAATTTGGTTATGAAAATATCACGTTTTTTTTTTTTTTATACACGTTATTCTTTATTACATCTATCCGACATCTATCTGCGATAAAATTTCTCTCATCTCGTGTGTTTTACAGCTACTTTAGTATCATATTTATATCCTTGTCCTAATTACTTTATATGTGCGGACGAATATGCACACACGTGCACAGGCGTGCGTGAACTTATTAAGCCTATAATTATAGTTGTAATATAATTACCGCGTGTGCTATAGCACGTATATATCGCGAGAGTATATTTATATACTCGCGCCATGAAACTCTTCGGAATATATCTTTTCAACGCATCAAGCGAATTTTTTCGTGTTTCAGATTTATTATTGTTTTAGCGAATGTTTTTGCACATTTTCTCTTTGTAACGCACACGTGATATCGTTAATAATAAAATATAAAACAGGAAGTCTCTTGTCAAGCCTCAGTTCAGAGAAAATATCAGGAGTGACTTTTCTGTATTTTTTAAAAATGTATACGAATAAATACACGCATGTAAGCATATCCTTTCACATTTTTCCGTGAAAAGGCTGTTAAATGTTAATATATGTATCACTATATACCCAGATAGCCAACCGAGTGCAAGTTGTTGGCAACTTGCCCTACAAATATTGCTCGTATACCCGGTAAAAAATTTTTCATACATACTTACACACAAATTAAAATTATTATATCTAATTATGCAAATTTATATGTGTGTGTGTGTGTGCCAAATGTGTCCATACAATTTTATAAACGGAGAATTTCTTTTTTTTAAGATAATGTGGATTCAGAGATATTCCATATCAAATTACAAAATAACTCTGTTAGTATCATATTAGACACAAAAAAAATTATATAAAACTATATTTTTAAAAAAGTTTTGATATATATAATCATATATATATTTATACACAAATTAAAATTATTATATTTAATTGTGCAAATTTATATGCCGAATATGTCCGTACAATTTTATACATGGAAAATTTTTTACCGGAATGTTTTCAACAAAAAGGTGTATCCTCTTTTCGGTATGTTCTTGCCAGCAACAGTTTTCAAAATATAATAACAGCAAGTTCCCAACAACTCATCTCTCGGCAATAAACTTATATTATTTTTCTCAACTTGTGAATAAAAATTATTGTTCACATATTGCTCACACATTGCTGACTCACTTGTCACAAACATTGGCGCTACAACAATTGATTGATAATAAAAACTCAGCATATTGATACAAAAACATTTTCGTTGCATTAAATAAAAACAACGCAACAGCAATCGGCGAGCAACTTAATCTATTACAATGATTTGCTTTATATTTGAGTTTTCACATCTGGCTATCTGGGATAAATTTTGAACAAAAGTGATATGTTAACAATAGCGTTTTTTCTTCTCGCAGATCAACTTACATATAAATTTATTGATATAATTTTTAGACAAGAGGGATAACAAGATTGGCAATAAAAGAAAAGTATTTCGAAAACTACACTTCGGATCAATTCGACTTTATTCGGATCATCATATATATATATATATTGTCGGCATGTATATACTGTATAGTACGCGACAACAAATCGGATAAGGGTGGGATTTTCTTCTTACTACACATTGCTCGAATTTATGTGCGGTTGTCGAAGGAGTTTCCCAAGCGCGCTTTACGGCGCTGCTCGCTTTCTCTTTACTCCACTTACCTCAGCGACAATCACCGTTTTTGTTATCGGTGGTGGGATGAGCTCCGGTATTAAATGTGGTATACCTCGAAAACGGGGATCGTCGCCGAGATAAGTAGAGTAAAGAAAAAGCGAGCGGCATTAGTTTGCTCGGGGAACTTTAGTTGCGACTTAAATTCGAGCATTGTTCCACTTATCTAACTTCGACTATATACAACTATGGAATGCCAGATATTGGCTGTTTCACGTTTCCGCCACTATGGACGACGAAGGCGTTGTCAATCTTCATTACAGTATAAAAAATACCGGGTTTCAAGTCCATGGTTATATAAATTAAAGTTCTATGAATCGTTTAAAAAAGAGATTCGGTTTGGAAAATGTTCCTGATACATATCTTGCCTCTGACGTCATCAAGGATAGCGGTCTAAGAGAGAGCCTTAAACATGCATATAATTCATTAATTAAATGTTTTATTAATGTGTAAATAAAAATAAATCTATTGATGTGGGTGAGATTTATTATTATTATTATATGTGTATTATTGTTTACATTTTATTAATATTTATTATACGTATTTTTTGTGTAATATATAATATATACATTGGAAATGCAAATTGAATTAAAAAAAGAAAAAAAAGAAAAATGAATACAGAAAAAAATTGAAGTACCAATACTTAAAACTGTTATAAAGGTTTTAAGTAATATATATATATACACAATACAGCAGTGTGTTGTTCGCGGTATTGTCACCACAATTCCGAAGACCGGACCGACAATTGCAAAAGTATGGCGGACTTGGTTGGTTCCCATCGCGGCGCCCGAAGTACTCGAACTGTGCGGAGAACAAATGAAAAAGAAATCGCAAGCGGTATTCATAGTTCAAATGTCTTATCTAAATTCATTCTAAAAAGTCAACGACATACGATGGTTTTTGGCTGCTAGATTTTTTTTTTTTTTTTTAACTGGATTTGCGGTGCTGGCGGTGTTGCTGGCTTGACCTGGCTAGTAACGGCCGAAGCCAGCAGCACGCGAATTGTTGAAAGATAGATGATGAAATAAACAAACTGTGATATGACGCGATCATGATACATCGTCGAAAAAATGTCCCTATTAGTACTTGTAGAAAAATTGCGATAAAAACAATTTTATCTCTTCACGCTGTAAGCGTCATAAATTTCCGTCAAAGGTTGCGTCCTGATTGATTCTGCATTAGAGCCAGGACCGCGCAAGAAAAACATATGATCTGTCACAAAAATCCAGCAGAGTTAACACAGCACAGCCAGCACAGGAGCGTGCAAACAACAATTCAGCAAAAAACAGCATCGTATATAACGCTGGCTTAAAATGCCGTACGGACGTTTGAGGAGCTGCGGAGCGTCCAAAGACAAATTTGAAAAATACGATATGACCGACCTGAAGCGAGTGAGAGCAAGACAGGCCAGTCTTTTTTGCTATATACGCCGAAAACTATGACATATAGGGTAAAAGACCCAATTACTGTCACCGGAATAATAAACTCTGGCGTTAGCGAATTGTTTTTACCACTTATTTATCAAAAACATGTGTTTTTCTTCTTATCTGGTATTATTCGATGTCTCTGATATAAGAAATAAAATAATACCGCCTCTCAAAATCTCTATTTTTATTTATAAATTTAATAATTAAAAAAGAACGATGCGAGAGCTATTACTGTCATCCTCCTAAAATGAAAGAAATTAGACACGAATGTTGAGTGCTGGATTTTTTGTTATATTGCACTTAAAATTCTATGTTAGATTGTTTTTCGTGCATAACTTTTTTTAGGATTTATTTAATATTTTAAATAAAATTGCTTAGGGTGACAGTAATTGGACAGATGACGGTAATTGGGTCTTTTACCCTAAATGTACGGAAAGAAAACGTAGTCTCGTAGTTTAAAAGTAAATAACGCTCCGCGAGCATTGGAACACGGTAAGGACGATCTCAGTGACAATTGCGTGAACAAGACCGCCGATATAATTAACCAAATCAGCGATCATTACTGTATGTCTAAGATATAAACGTCAATAATGTATTTTATATATATTTTTTTTTTTTTGCATATACGTGTACACCTCCTGTTATATATAAACTACGTAAATTATACTAAAACTAAATCTTTTTTTTTTATTTATGAAAACAGTTTATATAAATTGAGCGAAATTAATTTTTTTTTTTTTTTTTTTTGTTTTTTGTTTTTCGTCGAGACGATACATATCATATTGAGTATTATTAATAAACTTTAAAAAAATTGTTGGAATATTTTCTTTGACTTTTCCCTAACTCTTTCTCACTCTCTCACTCATCATTCATTCGCTCGTTCTCTCTAATTCTTTCTTTCTCTGTATGTGATGTGTGTATATGGGCGGTTGTATATGCGGAACAGTTTTACACATTCGTGATTGTCAAGGCGTAAATTACAGAGACTTACGTAAATTAACGCAATTATGAAGTGTGTGCTGATACAGTAACTATACAATTCACTATATAAGGCAAAGAAAACGTATTGATTACACAATTATTACAGTTTTATATAATAATATGAAATTTACATTTTTGCCGAATATAAACAAAGACAACTATTTCTGCATGAGTGTTTCTGTGTGTATCCACGTATATGCTGCCAATAGTAAAAAATATCTATTATGTATCGCACAATTCAACAACCGTCATTGTTTTTTTTTTTTTTGCATGCAACACATGTAGGATAACTTACAGTCTTCGTCATTGTAGAACTCTAATAGTTTTATAAAACGTCTCACACAAGCACCTACAAAATGACACATCTTCTTCTCCTAACGGGTTCTGGAGGCTCTAAAGCAGCCAAGATTGCCTCATCGAAGACATTTTTAAGTCCTTTCTAAAATATTAAAAAAAAAAAAAAAAAAAAAAAAGATTTAAAATAACAAATTGGTTTGTATACTTGTACAGATACACAAAAGTATTATAATATCTGTGTAGTGTGATGAACAAATGTAATATTATAAAAACACTATTTTGCGCATATATACCTGTGTAAGAGCGCTACATTCGACATATTTCACCGCTTTTAATTCTTTTGCAAGCTTCTCTCCTTGTTCACTGGAAATTGCCTTTTGTTTATTTTTTGCCAGCTTTTCAAGTGTCGCTGCATCATCTCGCAAATCAATTTGAGTGCCAACCAACAGAAACGGAGTTTTTTGACAGTGATGTGTTATCTCCGGCACCCACTATATATTAAAATTTGAGAACGATGAGAATATAAAACTTGTAAAATATCAAATATAAGAAAAAAAGTGATCGCCACACGTTTAGATAATATAAAACACGTGTCCCTTTTTGCAATGAAATCATTGCGGAACCTTAACCTTTAGACCGCCGATATTTTCTCACTAAAAACATATTTTTTCCCGCCATATTTCTGTATAAATTGATTTTATTATATTGGATGGAGTGTCCTAAGTTTCATCTGGCTCCGATCGGCGCCAGGCCGACGGGGAAATTTTCAAATTTTCAAAAATGGTGTTTCCAAGGGTTTTTTATATCGCTGGTTACGTTTTACAAATCGCGAATTGCAAAAGTCTCAACACAGTAGCATTGTTACTAAGCTAATCATGTACAAATAAATTTTGTATCTCAGATTACGGCGAATTCGAAAGCTAAAAACTACACCACTTAACAACATAGATTTAGATTTTCTCGCAAATCAAATCAGAGATGAAAGATAACTCTTCTCTAAAATACGGTACAATAATTAGCGTTCCAATAACGATGCCACACAGCATCCATGTCGGCTGTCTAAAGGTTAAAAAGATGTAAAAGTGAAAATTACTTTTTCATACACATACATGAAAAACTGAAATTTTACTTATATACCTTTTCTTTAACATTTTCAAATGACGAAGGTGACACAACTGAAAAACATACGAGAAATACATCGGTTTGTGGATAACTCAACGGACGCAGACGGTCGTAGTCCTCCTGTCCTATAAAAACATTTAACAATTAATTTAATTACATTGTCATTGCTGAAACACAATTGTGTTTCAATAATATATAATTAACAATTATATTTACCAGCTGTATCGAATAATCCTAATGTGTAAGGCTCACCGCCAATCATGACAGTGACCGCATAGTTGTCGAATACTGTTGGAACATATTCTGATGGAAATTTATTTGTAGTATAGGAGATTAATAAACAAGTTTTACCAACTGCTCCGTCTCCCACCACAACACATTTTATTGTCTGCATTTTGAGTGCTCTCGGATACTACCTGCATAGAAAGTAGAGGATCTGTAAATAGTCATTTATTCAAAGAACAATTATATATAAAATTGTGTGTCCTCGGTGCGAGTCTTGTGTTAAAATTATACATTATATAGTTCATAAATTACTTCCGACATCAAACTATTGATCAACTTTGTTTATATCACCGTTTATCGCGTATATAATATAAATTTTCTGAATATTTAAATTAAATACAACAAAAAATTACACAAAACAGCATAAATTTTATACACATGTGTATATATACATGTGTATGAAGTTGTGTGAATATGTACGTATTTATTACGTGTTATAAAGATAATAGTTTTCAAGTATAAAGATATATTGATTCCAAAAGGTGAAGAAACTCGGTGTACAGAAACGTGCGTTTGTACCATTGATTTTAAAACTCAATCTTTTGTTTGGCCCCCGTACATATATATATACATACATACATATATATATATATTATACACCGATACGCATAAATCTCACAGAGTTTTGATTAAACCGTCGTCAAATCTACGGGGAACAAGAGCGAGAAAAAACGCGACTTTAAATGACACATAAACATACTGGAGTATTTTTGGAATCGCCATTTTGAGTGTTATGTCAAACACATTTCTCTGTACGGCAAAATTGTGAAACGGAAAAAACTACGAAACGTGCGAACAATCGGATTCTACCAGGATTATCGTGCGTAAAAACGAGAGAATCAACAAAATTGATTGGCAAAAATACGAATTTAAACGTCAAATAACAAACTACTCACACGCGCAACTGGGCGTTGACACTGTAGCTAACGTTTCATCGTCGGTCACAAGTTTACTAGATAGGCAACCATGATGTAAACAGATAAAACGTACATACATATGATACGCGCGTACTGACAGACAAAACGTCAAGATGGCTGCACTTGTCGGCCAGCTGAGCTCTGGAGAATCCGAAGAAAGGAAAGAGGTGGGGAGGGGGGGGCGACGACTCTATTTTGGAATATTTTTCTAACCGGAAATACAGCACGAATGTGGAATATTTTGACTCGAACACCTTCTGGAAAAAGAACACCTTTCTTTACACGTGCACAAGAAGAGCGTCCATACATTTATACATATATACAAATACATATGAAAATATTTATACGAGCGGTTTTTTGGGGGGAAAAAAACGTTTTGATACAAGAAATGCGATATTCTCTGATAGCGTTCGTAACACGTATAGGAAAAAAAAAAAAAAAATCTTAATAGCCGGTTAAAAATTTTTGTAGCTTGTTTTGCACATGGCTCTCAAAAGTGTCCTGATTTAGACTTCGTTCTTCAAAGGAATGTATAACCTAGAATTCGGCGCTTTGAACGCTTTAATTGTTCTCTGCACAGGACGTTTTTTTCTTTTTTTTTGCTTTTAAAACCTTGTGTTTATGTGTGCAAAATCCTATCTCCGCGCGCGATTAAGTGTAGTTTTATTCACTTTCGAGATGGGAGACTCTCGAAGTAAATATTTACCGTATCGACCGATAGGTTAACGTCTCTTGTCTCGCTCGCTCTCTCTCGGTGCCTTATCTCACTTATTTCTTATTGCCCTATCCGTTAGCTGCAATAAGAAAATTTATTTTTAAGGGCGCAGCTGAATCTTTTTTCGACACACAGAAATGACGAGATGTGAATAGTTTTTTTTTTTTAATGTTGAAAACAATGTACACCACTGTTTAAAATTATGTAGAAACATGCGAGAGACGTATAAACTTGAATTTTTTTCTCTCGCTTTATTCCTAACACAGGTTGTCTCTTTGTTTAGATTAATGATGGAATATGGCACAAAGAGATAGTGCACGGATTTTTATCCGGGGATGCGATAGAAAAAGAAGACTTGTGTACAGGACACAACAAAAGTGTGTTTTGCAACATGGAATCTTACACTCTGCTGACGTAGAGTGGTGTATATGTTGTGTACCAAGGTTTAGAAAAGATGACATAAATGAGATATAGAAAGTCTAAAGTTTCTAATTTTTTACACAGACCTATACGTAGGTTCTACAAATCTGTGAATTATTATTTTTATATTAAAGTTCTCAATTTTATGCTAATGCAATGCATTTTAAAATTTATAAAATTAAACAATTGTTTTATAAATTTATTATAGATTTAAGAGATAAGTTAACAATCTCTTGTAAAATATTTCATCATACATATCGATTGTGACAAAAAAAAGGTGCCTTAAATTAAAACAAGGAATGTAACTGCAGATGAGATTTATGTAGAGATAGTCTAGATTTTATGAAGAGTTTATTTTTTTTATTCTGAATTGAACCAATTATCTTAGTCTGAATATTGTAAATTAGAACAAGATCGATGTGAACGTAATGTTTTTATTCAAAGAAAGGTTTTGAAATTGTACGAAACAATTTGAATATTTTCAGTAGTACATACAAAAGATTAAATAAAAGGCAACGGATAAAAAAATATACTCAGAAAGTGAAAAAAAGTGGAGCTGTAGAGAATAAGATATATTTAGAGTGAGATAATTAGTGACAATAAACGGCGATTTTATATTTGACTCTTAACTATATATCTTAAAGAAATGTTAATAATTTATTATTATTATTATTATTCTTATATATGTACACAGTAAATACTCTCATAAATTATTAAAAACATTCTTATAGTTTATAAAACCTAGTAATCACTGGCTTTTTGATCTTCTCTTCTTTTCTCTTGTCTCAGTGACCGCCGTTGTGATGTTATGTAACGTTCTTCATCCTTTCTTCTGTCACGCGAATTACATCGTAATGAACGAGGTGGTTGTTTGCAGCCACTGTGTGTACACAAAAATAATTTTAAATAAATAAAGAGAATCATGAGATATAATCGTAAAGAGAATTTTGATAAACACGAGTGTTTTTTAAACATTAAAATAAACATGATTCACCGTCATCCGTTAACGTTCTTTTAAATCACTCCCGTGGCTTTTCTATATTGACCAAAATGTTCCAGATATTGTTGTATCGTATCCATAGGTTGATAAATGTCATTCATCCGGTTCTGTGAAGAGAGAGAAATACAAATTCAACAAATTTAATTCCACTTGATTGAAATAAATATATTATCATTTAATATAAAAATGATTTTAAATAAGTATTGTAAAATGTTCACACACGCGTATGTGTATTTTTTTTTTTTTTTTTTATTTGCTTATACATTTTGTAGCAATACATGTTACCACACACCTGAAGATACTGAGGCGCTTGATTCGACACAGCCGAACCTAAGAATCCTTGCAGAAATTCTCGTATCAATTCCCAAGCGCTTGACGGCACGACGCATGGTCTATATTCAACCTGTATTAAAAAAAAAAAAATTATACAACATTTCATTATGTCAATTGCACGGTTATAAATATATTTACATATATAGTAGCGCAAAAATATAATTTATAAATATTTCACAATTATTTTTCTAGTTTCTTGAATTGAAATCGTCCGAAAAGAGAAAACAATAACAAATAAATAAATAAATAAAGAATCAATTAAATAAAGTTACATAGTTAGATAGAGTTGAACAAAAATCATACGACGGATAAAACAACAACAAAGTTCATCGTTGGCGTTTGTTAACTATTCGCGAATATTTTTGCTTAGTATGTGAAACATGTGAAGTATTTCGGCGGCGTGCTACGTTTGACACGCGGAACGCATATTTGCTCATTTCGCTTATGTTTGTGCGTAACCTTGTGTAACACAAACACATAGTGCTACTTTGCAATTAAATGTAATCGCAAAAAAATATTAATTTGCTACTAAAATTAAACTACTCTATGAATTCCTACACTCTATCGCAAGCAATCCCAGAATATCTCTCTAGTTACTTCTACGCGGAAAAAAAAGATTTGCTAGAATAGCAAGAAATTAGTTACTTATATGGCCAGCAAAAAAACATTTGTTAAGTTTAGTAAAATTTTTGTTTTGCCAACAAAACATTTTGTTGATGAAATAAAAAATTTCGCGTAGGGTCAACCATTTTTTCTTGCTGACCGTATAATAGCAAAATTTTTTTTTCCGTATACGAGACATGCAATATCACGTTGCTATAAATTAAATCTCAACTGTGAAAAACATAAAAAAATATAATAAATTTATTATATATTTATTAAAAATATAATAAATTTTTATTAAAAAAATTAAAATCTAAAAAGTGATATAATTCGTCATGTTAGATACTGTAAGAGTCGAAACGAAGAATATCACTTGGAAAAAATTGAAAGTTCGGCGAATCAAAGATCTGCAAAAAAAAACGTGGTTGTTCTCTGTCACTTTCAAAGAATTTCTATTCTTTGGGCGAGATATATATATATATATATGTAAAAAGTGTCACAGGTCTCACCTCAACCAGAACGCCTTTGAAATTTTGACTCATCGTTACGCTGCCCAATTTGACGCAAAAGTCGCCGATTTCAAAGCGCGGTCCTTTGGACTCGATTTTCGTTTGCTTTTTGCTCGTGTAAACGCTCGTCATTTTTAACATGAGCAAATCGAATAGGCCGTCCGCTATCAACGGCACCACTTTGGTGCCCGATTCGAGGATAGCGAACACCGAGGCTGGTTGCTCCGAATTGTGTAACACGTGCACGGTCCTTTGAATGCCTGAAAAATTGTACAAACGTTGTTAAGAACAGTTTAAGTGCAGTTTAAGTACAGTTTTAAATTTTTTTTTTCTGATGACATATTTGGTTTTATAATAACTATTTTCATGCGATATACCCGGTCTGAACTCTTTTTAGAAGACTCTTAAGATCCGAACGCTCGGCGACGACGAACATTGACCCCCCCCCCGATGCATATACTACCCCGTTGGGTATTCCGCGCGCGAGAAGCTTCAGAGTCCTAATTCAGTAATCTACTCGTGGTCATCGCAGCTCCGAAGTAGTCTAACCCTTCTCCCTCTACCCTCCCTCCTACCGCGATACATCTCGCGCGAATCTCTCTCCCCTTCAAATCTCTCCCTCCTCGGACTCCCCCTTTAGCCCCGGCACATACGAAACATCCGTGCGCAGCGGGAGTTGTGCGCAGGGGGTTTTCATGCGCGATGCCACAGCCAATCAACGGGGTGACGTCTAGGGGGCTGTATTCTCCTCTCCCTTTCTCAGTTGGCCGCGATTCACCGTAGGGTATGTATGTTTCGGTTATCGTAGTCGAGAGCTGTGCACGTCAGCACAGCAAGTCGCGAGGAAGCGCGAGAGAGAGGGTGGTGGTGATTTGGAAAATCCTCTCGTTTTTTTCGTCTCTCGCTTTCGAAAACGCGAGATCGTGTTTTCTTGCTTCCTCTTCTTCCGCTTTCTTCTCCCGCTAAAATCGCGTTCCGAAAGAGAGAGAGAGACAGAGAGAGAGAAAAGGAGTTAAAATCTGTGACTCACTCAGAAAGATCTTTTCCTTTGCACGCATGTGAAATCTGCGTTCTCTGCGACTGATTTAGATTTACGCGTACAACGAGACAGAGGAGAGACATGAAATGCGACATAAATGCAGACGCAGATCTTGATCGTGTGAGAGAGTGCGACGAGAGTGATGACACTCCGAACAGCAAGACGGAAGAGATATGAAATTAATGATGTGTAAACGCAAGTATGTCTCTCTGCAACGACATGGATGCTGCGGTAACATCTAAAAAAAAAAAAAGAAAAAAAATTCTTGTCGTTCAAAAACTACTTGATCTTGATATAAAATAGCTTTTGTACTAATAACGCGAGATTTTGGGCGACTAAAAATTTGACATTTAAATAAAATCAATTAAATCGGATGATCATGCTCTCTCTCTCCCTCTTCCTTTCTTTTCTTCTCTCTCTCTCTCTCTCTCTCTCTCTCTCTCTCTCTCTCTCTCTCTCTCTCTCTCTCTCTNCTTTCTTTTCTTCTCTCTCTCTCTCTCTCTCTCTATCTCTCGCTCTCTTCTCCTCTCTCTCTCTCTCTCTCTCTCTTGCACTTCTCATTACGGAGGTTCACACATCGCAGTGCTCGCAAAATTATCCGACGCCGTTTATTCGGATCGCAAGAAACATACGCGCAAAACACATATCGGCCACACAAGGTTATGCGGATAATTCCGGGGATGCTCTCTCCGAACGCGCTTGGCAAGAGGGGAGGGAAGAAGAAACGGAATGTCTCTCCGGAAGCGCGGCAGTGTGTCGAATAATCGATCGCTGTCACACACATGATAATTGCTAAAGTCAATGAGACGCGATGAGTTTTGTACCGATCTGTGTTGCGTGACGAACACTCAATTTCATTGTACTTACCCCCTCTCCCCCCCCCCGTTCGTTAATGTCGTGTGTTTTGTATGTGCACGGAGATATATATATATATATATATATGCACGTGAGATATATCGTCACGTATATTTCAAAAAAAAACGTTATTCGCGAAAAAATCTAAATCCGCGCGCGCGAGCTCTTTCTGAAATTCGAAAAATTAATAATAACGTAGTTTCTCGCCGGGAGAAATAAGCAATTTCTCTCTCGCGAAGGGTTTTTCTTCCTTCGAGAAAATTACTCCCGGCGTGGCAATTAAGGGTTCGAGGAAAAAAAACTTTTTTAAATTTATCCGCGATAGATCGTAGCGTCTCTCGCTCGCGAGAAGAAGACCCACATTTGCATTTCTGGGAGGAGGGGAGGAGGGGAAGAGGAAAAACGCGCTAAGAGAAATAAAATTGCGGAATCAATTGTGCGTGAAACTTCTATCTCGCGGATTAAATCTCCGGACTGCGAATCGATTATCCATTAGGAGAGGATTAATGTTTGTGTGTGAAAAATAGAAAGAAAAAAAGAGAGAGAGAAAAAAAAAACAAATATATCACGAAGAAGCTTCGAATGAGAATAAACAATTATTATCGTTGATAATAAAAATCGCCTAACGCGACTTGTGACTACACATGTACGTTTTTGAAGTGGTTGAGCCAACACACACGGCGGTGACATATCTCACGGCGATAGCAGTGCCTTCCGAAGAGAGAAAATTTCCTGCTAGGAAGGCGAGCCTCTTAAAGACAGGATTTAAATTTACCATCTATATGTATATAGATGTATATATATATATATATATACCTCGCTATCGTACTCTGAATCTCTCTCTTTAAATCTCTTTCGCGCGTCTAATATTCCGTTTGGCGCATAAATCAGAAAAATCCGTATTTGCGAATTTTATAATAAATTTTTTTAATATTCAACGCACTGAATTGAAATAAAAATAATATTTGATAAAAAAAAAAAGTTGCGAAATAACATTTGACAAAAAACAAAGAGAGTCGCTCTAACGATATTCTGATTTAAATAAATTTTTGTGTTAAGATGTAATAAACACTTTCTTTTTTTATTTAACGGTATTAAAACAATTTTTGTCGATCAATATTTGATGAAAAAGAGAGAAAGAGAAAGACAGAGACAGAGAGAGAGAGTCGATAACAGTTATTTCACGCAGTTGAGGCTTCATTTGCAAACAAACCGGAGAAATGATTTATAATGTCACGCACAAATGACCGTTGCGCGACGTGTTGTCGCGTTGCGAATGACTTTAGCAATTACATGCGAGAGAGAGAGTATATAATGATCAACGCGGCTCCGACGTCGCGGGCACGATCGCCGGCCCGTCGCCGCCGCCGTCCGTCGTAAGCAACACGCCGCGGATTAAACAATTTTCGAGATTCCGTGTGTGTTCCCCCATAGAACTCCGCTCTGAGAGGAGGTATATATACACGACAATGATATCGGACTCTCGCGGGTCCTATATAGCGGGTCCTATATAATGGATGGGAACGAGCGAGCAAGTATGTTTTGCAAAAGCGCCGACGTTTGACAAGCGAGCGAGTTAGAATTGGTTTTTCGTACACTTTGTGCTACGTATGCCGATCCATCCGAGCCGATCCGAAGAAGAAATAAACCGAAGAAGAGATATATGATTTCGCATTATATTATATAACGAAAATCATGTTTTTACGACGATCGACCGGCGCTCGGTAGAGAGAAAGAAGAATCGACCAATTATTTCAGACGAGAGAGAAGAAAGTCATCGTCGAAGCGAAAAATTATCGCAGATGTCAATTCCGTGAAGAACGATAATGTGGTTCGATCCTGACGAAATACGATTGTAGCATATCGCACAATGCGGATTGCGAAGAGGGGGAGGAGGGGGGGGGAAAAAGGATTTATCTCGTCAAAGCAGAAGCCGAGCGTGATCGCAAAGAGCTAAAAACGAATGCGTCAGTCGGACCACCCTCTCTCTACGTGTGTGTCAGCGACTCTCGTTTTTGCGTTATCTTCTCGGAATTCAAACTCCGGCTCTCGAAGATGCAAATCAGCGGGACTCCCGAATGAGAGATTGCGACCGTAAGTGACGCGTTTAATTCGCTTCGGCGTCGAAGAGAAGCGCAACATGGAATCGCGTGACTTTCTTGTCCGGAAAGCGAATTATGTTTGTCCTTGGAAGATCCACATCGTGTTGCGAGCGCTAAAAAAACGGTGTCAAGATGTAATATTTAATAATTTTTCATCAATATCGATATTTATGTTACACAGTCGGGTTTACGGAACATATGGTTGAACGCAGCGTGTAAAATACATACGTGCGTGTGTGTGTGTGTGTGCACGGAGTGTCCCGAAATTATTTATTGACTAACGCACGTGCGATATAAACAAATAAAGTTTTTGAACATTCTACGTGTGCGAACGCGCACATACGTAAATTAAAAATGAGTTTTTGTTAATTCTAAAAAAAAGATAACAAGTAAAAGATAATCGTGGGTAAAGTTGATCTTTTTCCTGTTGATAAAAATTTGACGGAGATATAAAAATCTCACTTGAATTGCTATTTTGCGCGTAAAAAAAACAGTTGTGAGTACTCGAAGCAAACGTAAAGTTTTATGTTGCTCTCTCTCTCGAGGAAGATCGTTTTGTTGCAGTTTTCTGTACACACACACACACACACACACACACATCCTGGTAACAGCTGCGCATCACGGGACGCACGCGCCTCTCTCTCTCTCTCTCTCTCTCTCTCTATCTATCTCGGTATCGTTTTGCGTCGAGTCAGCAAAACTTCACTTGGCGCAAGGGTTTGCTTAATATGCACCGGCGCGACCTTTTCCCTGCTGTTTTATATCCTGGCCGCATACTTAAGTATCCCCCGGCGATGCGCAACGGTTTTATCACGTGTGATTTAATAGCGCTCTGACGAAATGACGTTCTGAGAAATGCGCGCGCCCGAAATAAGAAGAGATCAACCATCGGTACTTTATAAAGAGAGATGAGATTTAATGCGCGAATGTATTCGCGTATATATATATATTCGATCGCTTTCGATGACACAACGTGATCACATGTGAACACATACAACTCATCATCAACATACAAAGTAATTCTTGTATATTTAAAAAACGTTTTTTGCGCGAAAAAAAAAGTTGTGAAAAAAACGCGGATTTTTATCCAACTTTTTGAAAAAATTCGCAAAAATATGGAATTTTTTTTTTGATGTCGCGATAAGTTCAACGTATATAACGCGTTCGTTAAGTTATAGCTGGTATGTGTATAACATTGGCGGATGAAAAAGTAAATAAAAGACATGTACGTGCACATACACAGCGGGTCCTCTCTGTCAAAGTTCATCTCACTTTCCCCTCATCGAAGCTTATGGAAAAAGTTTCCGCGTTGACAGTCCGCTTCCTTGATTGCTTTCGTTGCGTGGGGACGGAAACGGTGCGTGATTCTGATTCGATTTATATGACAGGTTAATTTCCTGACAATATGGCTTAATAATCATTTTTATTTGTGTATTTTACTAAATTATATTTGTGAATAAAATTATAAGTTATATGAAAAAAACAAAATAAAAAATATCAGAATAGATGTGAGCCAAAGTGTAGGTTGTACCCGTGTTTTTTGTTTTTTTTTTTTTTTTTTGAATATAAAATCAAAAAATACAAACGTCGATCCTTTTTCCGGATTTTCTTCAATGTACAACAATAATTGAAATATTAATATTAATATTAATTAATATTAATATTAATTAAAACGTTGACCACAGTAAACTCATTATGCATAACTCCGTCGCTTACCCTAATTGTAAGTTCCACTTGCCGTTCGCAACGCTCGCGAGCGTTATCTGTCTTTGTTTAACTTACGACGAAAAACAAGGACGAAATGATTCCACGAGCGTTGCGAACGATAAGTATGGAACTTACCCCGAGTTAAAAAAAATAGGTAAAACAGACACAATATAAAATCTATTTCACATCGCATAATATGTAAACCTACTTCTAAACAAAAAAACATTTTTTTTTTCAGAGTTTTAATTGCGCAACGCGTTATTGCCAGAGATATTTCGCAAAATAATACAGATGGGTATATAGTAAAATTTGTTTTTGTTTGAAAAATAGGAAGCGGCAAAACTTTTGATTAAACTTCCGTTCTTTAAAATTTGTTTATGGTTCTCAATGAATGTTGTTAGGTGAATGCGTTTCGACGACGGACGGGGAGGCGGCGATCAAAACATGAAACAAACTCGTAATTAAAGATCCATTCACATAAGCGAAGCCGAAGCCTTCAATATATCTGCAATGTGCCCCGTCGTCGTTCTTTCTATTCTTTACGAAACTTGGCGCGCCGCGCGCGTGTTATACAATAGATTTCCGATTGAATATAATTCACGTTGAATAGCGTTTCCCGATATTTAAACAAGCACGCAAACAAATAGCACCGGCGTATATTGAATTGCGCGTATAAACGCAAAAGAGAAATGTTGCAACCAAGAATAGCTTTGTGCTTACAACAAGTAGGTAATTATGCGATCGTTAGATGAACAATACAAAAAAATAATTAAAAAAAAAAACAGAGACTTTATATAACGACATATAAAATGACGTTCGACATCTTCTTCTTAGCTCGTCGGATATCGCAATTTTTGTGTCATTGTTAAATGTTCAATTTTGCGTATATGAAAAATCAGCGAAATTTTAAAGCCGATCTATCGACGGATCGCCAGATCCGAAACGGGGGGGGGTTTAAATTCGACCGATGTGTGTTTTATATTCTCGTTTGGCACACATCTGTGTGTATACGAAACCACCATAAGATACTCTTCACTGCGCGTTCGATTTTGTTTCCGTTCCATTATATACGATAAAAAGCGATAAAAAAAAAAAAAAAAACAGTCCGAACAGTGACATTCTTCAATTCAGCACGCCGCGTACAAAACAGGAGAGCGTTGAATTTTTTTTCACCATGTCGCGACCGAACGAAGTGACGTTGCGCCGTCGTTCGTCGGCACAGCTAATGGACTCCAACGTTTTTACAGGCGGGGGCCTAAAAGCTTCAGCTCGTCTCTAACAGTAACATTTTGCATGCGCGCTATTAATATTTGAGCATTATTGGCCAACCCTTTACGACAAGATCTGAGAGTGGACGGGCGAAAAACAAAATATTTGAATTTTCCAGTTGTGCTTAATAAGCGCATTAATAACAGCGATAGAAAAAAAAAACACGCAAATTTTTAAATTTTTATTTTTCGTTTTACCCAGTCTGAAAACACTAACAAAATGCGAATTGATAATTCGAGAAGAAAGATTTAACGCAGTAAGATTCTCCAAAATCCCGTGTTACAAAATATCTCACACAATTTAAAACAGCCGAAGGTTTTCCGAAAAAAATTGTAGTTTTATACCTCACATAAATCAAATAGATTGACCAAAATTGAAGTTTTATTAGGGGCTTAAACGCTTGACACACTTCGTTGTAAAGAACACTTGACCGAGTATTTTTTTTCTTTTTTTTCTTTTTTTTTTTTTTTCATTTTCTGTTGAACATAATTTATCCGCGAGAAAGAGGGAAAAAAAGGAGAGAATTTTTTTCCTCAAAATATCGTACAATATATTCTTTTCTTTGAAAATTTGCACAAGGATTTTTGTATTAAATTTTTATATAAATTTTTTTTACATCGCATTGCACCGAGTACGTTGCACCGAGGCTAACTTAGAACTAACGGACAATTGTGGGACAAACAAAAATGTAAAATGTTTATGATTAAAACTCCTTATCTGGTTCGCACGCACATAACGAAGAAAACGCGTGTACTTGTGCGATTCCATGTCGACTTCGATTCTCAGCCGCATTTGTCAATCGACTTGGAATTTTTTTCGCAGATAGTGAGTGAGCACGGAGACACAACAGAGACACAATTTACAGATGTAAAAGGATATTCGTGAGCAAAAATCGGCGAGAGATAAACGACGTTTAGAGATAAATGCGAAACCGTATGACAATAAATAATTTATATAAGACTAATATCGTCGGAGAAGAAATCAACACTGCCTACTAACTAAGAAGAAGAAGAAGAAGAAGAAGATACAGCGTAATACGTGCGCGCGCGCAAAATATTTCCCTTTTTTGCTACTTCTATTCGACGAAACGTTCGTTTTTGTGTAAGAAATCTCCGCGCTACAAAGAGAGGAACAGAATACGGAAGAGGATATCTACCACTTCGAATATTGATTAGACAGCAGAGACGACGACGAGAGAGACAGAGAGAGACAGAGAGTGAGAAAAATATGAAAATCACGAACAGGTCTTTTGGTTGCAAGTTTGCGGAGAGATTCCCGCGGTCGTGTTTATAAAAAAAATTCCTAAGGCGAAGAAGAGGTGACGGACGAAGAAACGAGAAAGAGATGTCTCTAAATCACAGATATTACGTAAGTATTTAGATTTGCACAAGTAATAAAAAAAAAAATTTGAAAACACATATTTACAAGTGTCATAAGGTTTTTTTCAAATAAATTAAGCAATTCCGTGTGCGAGTTCTGTGTAGAAATGTTTATAGTAGAGGATAAGAGCCGTGTTAAAATTTTCTCTCTCGCGAGCTCTAAGTTGCATTGGTGTATAATAAAATTTATCTTTAACGCGAGCAAAATGTTGTAATTGTGCCACGCGCTATCTGCTAAAGAAGAAGAAGAAGATCGACTTATCGCACTCGACTTTTGGAATTCGGTTAGTGGGGTAAACGCGCGTCAAAATTTGAAAGATGAGTATCGAACAGTTAGAACCGAAATTCCAAATTTAGCGCGCAATGCCAGACAACAATAAATACACCGTAAAAAAAAGATATATAATGCAAATCACATTTGAAAAATGTTTTTTTAGTTGTTGAAATATTCTATTTCTTACACTATGTGTTATGTTTGATATTTTAGAGCGGGAGAAGAGACATTTAATGTCTCTTTCTCTCCTCTCTCTCTCTCTCTCTCTCTCTTTCTCTCTCTCTGTTGCACAAATTGCGTTGCTCCAGTTAACAAAGTATGCCGAGATTACAATTTCGCCCTGTTACAGTCCGGGCGTACTTGAAGACAAATTCAAACCTCTCTGCAGTATGGTTATTGTTTGCAATGGCCATAGCTAGAACATAATAGATAAGCGCGGAAGCGCCAAGTAGCATCGTCAGGTTTTCCAGATGTGTATATATACAGCGATATCGTTGCTTTTTTCGTTGTTTTTCTTGCGCATTTTGCGCGTATAGCGCGCTTGCATTCAAGAAAGAAAGCTCGTTCGTTTTTTTATTCAATTTCTACAATTTTTGTGTGTGTTGCAATATATTTAAACATTCAAAAACTTATTTTTCACACACTTCATTCTCACTTTACACACACACACATATGTTTCCTTCGTACATATACTCCCAATTCAGATAATAAATAATTAAAAAGAGATAAAACTTTTTCATTTTTTTTTTTACATACACAATAAATTGCAATTTATCATTTGTATAAATTTATATTCGCATATAGCAGCATTTTGAGTAATTACGATTTGCCATTCGGCGTCATGTTCATTTTCTTNTTTTTTTTTTTTTTTTTTTTTTCTCGTTTGGTAACGTTTCGAGTTCGCTGCGTTTGAAGAAGAGAGACGGATTATTTATGCGCGAGTGTATCTTAATATATCGATTGTCGGAACACATACACGTATGTGCCGCGCCATTATTATTACCTTTTCGTACTTGGCAAGAAGATAGTAGTAGCGCATTAAGAGTGACTGTATATCGACACATATGCGGACAGGCGGACATATACATATGAGATATATACAAGCGCTAAAAGCGCCGCTGACATGTTGGAAAAATTGCTACTGCAACCGGAAGGATAAATTATCCATATATATATATATATATATATATACATACACAGACACGTCTCGCTTGTCCTCCACTCTTTTGTAACCTCGCGCAGCTGTGACTTCACCAAGTTTAAAGCGGAACTCGCCGAACTGTGTGTCCTGAGAAAAATACATCGCTTCCGCTCTATCTTACCATTTTTCCTCCTCTGGTGCCGCCGGTGGTGGTACGATATTGATCACCCCAGCGGGTTAGTTAAAAGAAACTGTACCGATACCCGATTCGAAACGCAATTATCATCGTGACGCAAAACGAGAGAGAGAGAGAGAGACGGCAGAGAGTTATTTACACGTTTAAAAGTTCAATTAGCGAATCGATTGAAATATACGATCTCACCCAAGGAATATAATCTTCTGGCAAGATAATTTTAAAAATGATTATTGCAACATGTTTTTTTGCAAAGAGCAAAAAAACGTGATGTATCTCTTTTTGCCTTGAAGATACGAAATAATCGATTACAATTACCTCCTTTCTCTTTTACGGTAATGTAACAAAAATAATATTGAGAAGATAAAATTTAAAATTGAAGAGCGCGAATAATTAAACGACGAGAAATTAAATGACGCGAGTTGAATTAAAAAAAATTAAATAAATAAAATAAAAAGTAGGTTATACGAAAACAAAACACTTTTTACCGATAATAATAAACAATACACGATCGATCTCGCGTAATGTTTTTCACGTTTTTGCGCGTGCAAAGTCGTCAACAACAAAGAATGCCGGTAGAGAATCTCGATTTAAATTTTAGTAGGGGTGGCTAAAGACATCGGTTGCCCTTTGCACCAGAGCGTTATGTTCGCAAGCGCTTGAGCGCCTGCGCGAACACATTCGCACGCAATGCGATCTCTTTAAGCATTGTAATATGGAAGGGACCAGAGCAGATCGGAGTGAGTGACGAGAGTATACTGCGAAGGAGACTCAAATCAGACGTCCCCTAAATTGAGCTTCTACTCTAATGTAGATTCGCGCATGTTTATTCATAGACGATTGCTCGGTTTATCGCGTGTAGACATTCGCGTTGCACATGCGTGTTACACATGCGCCGATGCGCCGCCGCGCTCTGCCGATTGTCTTGTACTATTTGTTTCTCTATTAACCACGACGTGGTTTAAAGGAGTTTGAATCATCTTCTATTCGTAGCCGTACGGCGTATATTATAATAGACATCAAAAAATGCTCTAACAGATCTTTGAATCGTCGCATGTACCTTGCATTTACCTCGATTTACGTGTATCGATATATTAGGGTAAAAGACCCAATTACCGTCGACTGAATAATAAACTCTGGCGTTAGCAAATTGTTTTTACCACTTATTTATCAAAAACATGTGTTTTTCTTCTTATCTGTTATTATTCGATGTCTCTGATATAAGAAACAAAATAATACCGCCTATCAAAATCTCTATTTTTATTTATAAATTTAATAATTAAAAAAGAAACGATGCGAGAGCTATTACTGTCATCCTCTAAAATAAAAGAAATGAGACACGAATGTTGAGTGCTGGAGATTTTTTGTTATATTGCACTTAAAATTCTACGTTAGATTGTTTTTTCGCGCATAACTTTTTTTAGGATTTATTTAATATTTTAAATAAAATAGCTTAGGGTGACAGTAATTTGATCTTTTATCCTACACATTTTATTACATGTGTAATAAAATAAGATTATAAATTCTCCACAACGGAGGATAAAGTTGCGGATCAAACTTCACCAACTTCCATCGCGATGTGCGTTTGTTGAAGAAAGTTTTTTAAAATCGTTTTTTTCTCTCGTTTTGATCTCGTGCGTTTTATTCTTTTCGATTTCTCTTGTTCTCGCGCGTTAATTTGCACTCGCATCGTATCAGTCATTGACTTCTCGACACTTTTCAACGTAACAACGTCAGAGATTTTGAAACGGCGTTTAAGCGCTGCGACAGCACAACAACACAAATATAGATTTGGAAATTGACTCACGTGTACGCACACGCGAAGATTTGCATTAACCTATTTTCCTTTGCGCGCGCACTTCCGCGCCGTCGTTTGGTCTCTTCCAAAAACGTTTTGCAAGTTTTAACGAGCTTCGAGAACAGTCGAGTGTATTTTACACAAATGTTCCAAAAAATAAGAAAAAGTTTTGATCAACAAACGTATACACGCGCGGGAAACAAAAAATAGAGTTGCTTTCAATTGAAGTCACGACGACACGAGCTGCCACAAAAATAAATAGTTTATTCGATTGCATTAGTGCGATTGATTTAATGTCCAGATTCTTAAAGCAACTATATGTTGAATAGTGCAATAATATCAATGTTGCATCAACACAAAAAATTAAATTTTAATTAAACTGATGCTGTTGATTCAACATAATTTTTTTTTCCGTATACGTATCACAGGGGTAAAGTGTAGTTGTTGTGTAATACGTACGTAATATATATACAGTGTACAGAAAGTTTGAAGAAAATTAACGGCATATTACAAGTCAACTTCAAAAAATATTGTGATTAGATAATTATTAGAAGTTTTAATAGAATTCTTTGTATTTTTATCGCAATAGAATTAAATAATCTACTTTTGTTCTAACACGTAGTCTCTCGTGAGATTCTCTGCGAGAATCTCAGCCAGATTTCCGTTACTTTATAGTGTCGAGTTTTACGATAGCGCAGAATATATCGCGAGAATTACAATGATCTCTCACGGTAACGTTGCCGTTAACTTCAAGCGCGCAAACTTCCGTCGTCTCCAATCATCATTTATCTACAACCTACACAATTTCTATAGTATATATGGTAACGATAATATTAAAAGTATTATTAATAAATATTATGTACATATGTGAACATTGTCATAAATTTATACGTACATATACATACATAAATATATATATATGTATATNCTATAACGGTAACGGTAAGACTCAATTTCGGTACTATATCGGTTACGGTATACAATCTCTAGTATAATACCGGTATTGAAATCATACCGGTAGTAAGTCCCTGATTACAATAATATTATTAATATATACATATATATATATTATATATATAATATAAATAACATATATATATATATATGTACAATATAATAACATATATATATATATATATATGTTATATTCCGAAAGCACGAGATTTGATAGTGTGCTAGAAGCTAATGCATCTTCCGATCGGAAAATTTGGTTTGGGTCAACACATTATATCGTAATTATGCGGCCAGTACAATGGGCTATTAGTGGAAACGCGTCGCACAGCGATTGATTAACTAAATAATATCAGAGAATATATCTAATATGTGTGTTCCATATCATAGAGATGATATTTTGGTGGCGTAAAAAAAACGCGTACATCGCATGCCTTTAAAAATTAATGTGTGTCTCGTACATTGTATATCTCATTAACTAATTTAAACAAAAAATATTTTTTCTCATCAATTATTTTTTATTGATCAAGCTTGCCACCAAACCATGCGACACGTGATGATAAAAATATGAATTCTATATATATTGATTTAATAACCCTAATCTTTCTGGTGACAAAGGGAAAGAGGACTTT